AGGAAGATGAGGCTTAAAACTCATTAATCTGGAATATTTTGTATGAGTTGAAAAAAACATGGGAACCAAGCCAAAAAGAAAAGAGTTTGAACACTTTAATTTAGGTCTGTGATCCATTTTAAGGATTTTCTTTTTAAACTAATCTCCACACCCAGCGTGGGGCTTGAACTCACAACCCCGAGATCAAGAGTCACATGCTCTACCGACTAAGCCAGCCAGGCACCCTGGCCTATGATCCATTATATCTATTTATTTATTTATTTTTTAAAGATTTTATTTATTTGACAAAGAGACACAGTGAGAGAGGGAACACAAGCAGGGGGAGTGCGAGAGGGAGAAGCAGGCTTCCTGCTGAGCAGGGAGCCCGATGCGGGGCTCGATCCCAGGACCCTGGATCACGACCTGAGCTGAAGGCAGACACTTAACGACTGAGCCACCCAGGCGCCCCTATGATCCATTATATTTTAAGATTTTATTTATTTTATTGGGGGTAGGAGGAGCAGAGAGAGAGAGAATCTCAAACAGACTCTGTACTGAGCATGGAGCCTGACGTCGGGCTCGATCCCATGACCCTGAGATCATGACCTGAGCTCAGACCAAGAGTTGGATGCTTAACTGATTGAGCCACCCAGGCGCCCCAGTGATCCATTTTAAATTAATTTTTGTATGTAGGTGAGGAAAAGGTGGGTGTTTATTCTTTTGCATGTGGATGTCCAGTCGTCCCAGCACCATTTGTTGAATAAATTCACTTTTTAAATTGTTTTTTAAAGATTTTTAAATTTTTTTTAAAAGATTTTATTTATTTATTTGAGAGAGAACAAGCAGGAGGACTGACAGGGAGAGGGAGAAGCAGGCTCCCTGCTCGACGTCGGGCTCGATCCCAGCACCCTGTGGTCATGACCTGAGCTGAAGTCAGACGCTTAACCGACTGAGCCACCCAGGTCCCCCTAAAGATTTTATTTTTAAGTAATCTCTACACCCGGTGTGGGGCTTGAACTCAACAACCCCGAGATCAAAAGTTGCATGCTCCACCCATTGAACCAGCCAGGAGCTCCTGAATAAATTCACTTTTTTAAAGCCAATATCAGTAAACAAAGATCACATTCAGGCTGTAGAATATGCTGGGCAACCTTAGTAGATCCTTGCCCTAAAATCGTTGGTAGGGGCGCCTGGGTGGCTCAGTCGGTTAAACATCTGCCTTTGGCTCAGGTCATGATCCCGGGGTCCTGGGATCGAGCCCCGCATCGGGCTCCCTAGTCAGCAGGGAGTCTGCTGCTCCCCCTGCTTGTGCTCTCTCACTCTGTCAAGTAAATAAATAAAATCTTTAAAAAAAAAAAATCGTTGGTATTTCTCCTATTCCTATGTCCTCATCATTAACTTTGGTCTCTCTGCCCTGAAGTTTAGTGTTTACTTTTGTGCTTGTTTCTTCCACCTTTTTACTTTCACTCCTAAACTTTTACACATCTGTACAGAACCTGTGTATTCTTGGTTTTGAAAATTTTCTAGGGAAGGCAGTGAAGGTCAGAGGCAGCCAACCAGGTATATCCGTGAGGATTAGCTTTGGCTATGTAAAATACATAAAATAATAGTGACTTAAACAAGATAATTTTTCTCCCATGCTAAAAGAGGCCAGAGGTAGGCAATCCAAGGCCCTTATGATGGACATCAGGGACCCAAGCGCCTCCTATATTCATGCTCCATCATCCTATTGTGTGACTTCCAACTTCAAGGTGTCATGGCCCAATATGGCTGCTGGAGCTCTAGCCATCACATCTGCATTCCAGGCAGCAGGAAGGAGGAAGGGGGCAATGGATAAGGGTCTGTTTTCCCCTGAGGCACCTCCCTTCAAGCAGCCTCCCTGGGGATTTTACACAACAATTCCACTTTCATATTATTGGCCAGAATTTAGTTTCATGGCCACACTTAGCTGCAAGAGGAGGTTGGAAGTATAGTCTTAGCCAGGCATACTGCCATCTGGCATGACATCCAGGTTATGTTACTAAGGAAAAAGGGAAAATGGTTTTGGGCCAGCAACTGGCTGCAAGGAGAGGTCCGTGACCTGGAAGCCCAGTGCGAGTGTGTGTTCCTGTCTGATAGGTTTCTCACTCAGTTTCGGAGGGATTGGAGGATTGGAGTTCTGACACGCTAGAGGTCTCGCAGACAGCCAGTTGTGGAGCTGTGAGGAGCCTTGCAGTACCAGAAGGAAGCTGGAAGCAGAGTACGCCGTTTGCTGCCACAGGGCTGTGCACTGCTTCACCCCCACGCATGGATGGCTGTGGTCAGACGGGGCAGCCTGACCGCTTTCTGGATGTAGGAGACAGGCAGAGCCCTTGGAAGCCGGGGCAGGCAATCAGGAAGCCCTCCTCAGGCCCAGAAGAGTGTTTGGAACTCATTTTGGAGCACAGAATAAGGGTAGGCAGGATGCAGAGGGCGTGCAGAGATGAGAGGATGCTGGCAGAGCATAGCTTCCAAGGACCTGCCAGTCATGCAGGATGCAAAGGTCCAAAGCTGTGAAACATCCAGATGCCCTCCTAAGGACAAGAGCAAGGGCAGGTGTCCAGCGCTAGGAAGACCTTTGAGAGTGAAGTCGGCTCTCCCATCAAGAAGGAGTAGGGATGGGGCACCTGGGTGGCTCAGTCGGTTAAGCATCCGACTCTTGGTTTCAGCTCAGGTCCTGCTCTCAGGGTCATGGGATCAAGCCCTGCACTGGGCTCAGTGAGGAGTGTGATTAGGTTTCTCTCCCCCTTTCCCTCTACTCCTCCCCCCACACTGCTCGCTTGTGTGCGTGCTCTCTCTCTCTCTCAAATAAATAAACCTTAAACAAAAAGGAGTAGGGTACACAGCAGAGAAATAAGACAGGTGGTTTGGAGCCACAGAGACCCAGCCCCTACCTCATCCCTGGCAGAAGCCATGCTTCCTGGTGTGAGGGCGCCTAGGGGCCAGCACGGGGTGGTTGGAGCCAGAGCTGAAGGTGTGGGTCCAGAAGCACCTGTAGCTTCTCTGCTAAGAGCCAGCTTGCTCCCAAAGCCAAGGGTGCAGGTGATTCTGCAGGTGGCAGTTAAGAGACTGGAGCTGCCCTGGGTTGGGTCCTGAGGAATTCCAAGGCAGGGGGCAAGGTATTGCAGGAATGGCTGGATTAAATGCCACGTTCCCTTCTAGATTCTTCCAGTCCTCAGCTATTTTCTTTGGCACAGGAGAATCTTTTTGAAAATCCTAATTCTAAGAAATGTCATTAAGACAGATTTTGAGTTAAAATTTAAACTGCTACGTTGGCTCCCGATGCAGGATGTACAGGCTTTAAACAACAACAGAAGGTGCTTGAGACTGTGGGAAAGGCCCTAAATTGAAGTCTACCTGCTCCGTGAACATGAGTGTGAGAGAAAGGGGGTCTGGGGAGGGCTCTTGCGTGCCTGGACCTGGAAACTGTCCAGTGGTGAGATAAAGGGACGAGGATCTGCAGTCCCCTGCTGCTCCTCGTTGTGCACGCATGGGAGCTCAGGCTCACCACCTGTGTGGGTTTGGGGTTGTATCAGTTCCTAAAGTGGCTCCGCCTGACCAGCCTGGCCAGTCTGACTCCACTGTGCTTGGTCATCCGGAGCCAGAGCACCGTTGACGGGACTGTGGCCACCCCCAGCCCTGCCCTCGCCTGGCCTCGCTCCCTGGCCTGCTGTCTCCCACCTCTCAGCACTCCTAGATTCCTCTGGCCCAAGGTGAGGGTCTGCACTCTACAGTCACCCAAGTCCTTGCAGAAGGCTGCTCCTTTTTTCCTTTGTTCCATGCAGAGCCTCTGACTTCTGGGCAAGACCCACCCCACCAGCTCCCAAACCCAGAGAGATAGGGCAGGGCCGCTCCAGAACCGGGAGGAAACACAGGCTGGAGTCGTTTCCTTGTGGCCTTCCAGAGAGCTGGCTGTGAAATGTTTCTTCTTCCTGAAGCTCATTCCCGTGTGCTGGCTCTCTCCTCCTGTCTCCTTCTAGAAGGACATCCCTTCACTCAGATCCCTGACCGTTCCCTTGTCTACACAGCTGATCTTCAGAGTTAAAATCCTGATGGGTGGGGGGTTGCACTATTTGCCAGGAGTCTGGTAGAGTCTTGGGTTGTGGTTAGTGCATCCGATGGAGCGCTGGACCCCCTGTCCTGTGGCGCAGAGGATGCAGATTAAAGGCTGCATTGGCGCAGTCAGAGAGCTGTGCATCCGTCTTCCAGCCCCCAGCTGCAGGGCTGGCTGACCTCCGGTCTATAGGGAAAAGGGCGAGGTGTGTGGGCGTAGGAAGATGAAGGGTAGAGATGGTCCAGGAATGTGAAGCATGCAGCGAATGGTGGGCGTGGGGGAGGAAGGCGAGGAAGGGAAGCTCCCCACTATCCTGGAACATCAAATGCGCACACATTTCTTCAGAGACCTTGGGTTGGACTGAGCATGGAGACCCTTGACTTTTAGGTGCCTCTGGGAAGGTTTGGGGATAGGAGCTCCTCACTTAGCGGGTAAGCCGGTTGCTGAGGAGGACTGATGAGGTACCTGCTCCTTGTTCCTCTCACCCTTGCAAGCCTCACGTGCTGTGAAAGAAGCCAGACACAGAGGGCCACATACTGCATGACTACATTTGCCTAAATTGTGCAGAATAGGAAAAGCCATAGAGACACAAAGGAAGCTGGTGGTTGCTGGGGGCTAGGAGCAGGAGGAACGGGGGGGTGCGTTTGGGGTTTCCTTCTGGGGTGATGACGATGTCCGAACTGGATAGAGGAGGTGACTGCACAACATTGTGAATTTACTGAATACTCCTGAGTTGCTCACTTGAAAATGGTTCCTTTTATGTTATGTGAATTTCATCGCAATTAAAAAATAAAAACTCAGAGGCATAATAAGGCAAATCTTTGCCAAGGGTTTGCTCAGTGTACGTTTTCCTGACTGTTTTGGGTCCTGGGAGTGGGTCTGGTACTTTCTGTGGCTGGGCATCCCGATCCCTTGTCTCAGGCAAGGCCCCCCTGTCCTTCTTCCCTAGCACCATCCTGCTCTACCGCCTCATGGCCTGGGGCCTAGCCGCCCTGCTCTGCGTGGAGGGAGCGGTCCTGCTCTACTACCCTTCTGTGTCCAGGTAAGTAGGGACTCCCAGCTCCCCAGCCCATTGTGTGCTCTTGAAGAGAATGCGTGGGCACTGAGCCAGAGCGGGCCCCTTGCAGGTCAGGCCAGTGTTCACAGAGCCACCCAGCTGACCCCCGGGGGGGGCTCACTACAATACCTTGTACTCTTGGGCTCATTTCCCTCCCTCTGCCTTTCACATTTGTGCAGGTGGGTGCTTGTGCACACAGAGCTTTCGGTGTGTCTCCCATGTAAGGACGTGCACGCAGCTCTAGGTGTGAGAGAGAGATCTGAAATGGTCTCAGGTTCTTCTTCAACCTTAAAATCTCATCAGTGCAGGGGCGCTTGGGTGGCTCAGTTGGTTAAGCATCGGCCTTCGGCTCAGGTCCTGGGATGAGTCCCACATCGGGCTCCCTGCTCAGTGGGGAGTCTGCTTCTCCCTCTCTCTCTGCTGCTCCCCCTGCTTGTACGTGCTCTTTCTCTCTCCCTCTCCCTCTCAAATAGATAAATAAAATCTTTAAAAAAAAAACAGATCTCATCAATGCAATCATTTGTAAGGCCTCACGGTCCCTCCAATTCTAACTTACAATGGAAAGCTGAAAAACAGGTTGGACATTGTCTCTTTGTGATTTTAGGGCAGTGTAGACAAGGATCAACACAGCACAGCCCTGAGGACAAATCCGGCCCTCTGCTTGGTTTTGTAGATAAAGTTTTATTGGAACACAGTCATGCCCATCTGTTTATGCATGATTTATGGCTGCTTTCATTCTGCAGTGTCAGTTTCGACAGGCTGTGTGGTCCACAGAGCATAAAATACTTAACTGTAAATGTTCCCTGACAGGAAAAGTTTGCTGACTCATGGTTAGACCATTTCTCCCCTGCTCCTTTTTTAATTTCTTGCAGCTACTCCAACATCTCCAGATTGGTGTTGCCTAGTTGATGGTGAATACTCCTGAAGTTCTGTGTAGATCCATTCATACAGCTGCTCTCCTGAGGAACTTTAAAAGGACAAATACAGTGACAGTGGCTGTTACAATGGAATGCACTTAATTGGAAAGGGAGTTGTCATCACTCAGCTTACCTGCGGGCTCCTGGAGCCTCCTGGGAAGGTTGCATGTGAGCGGGAGGGAGCCATTGCTGCAGGGCTTACAAGGAGCTCTGAGGCGCCCCCGTGGTCCTTCGGAGGCCGCTCCTGGGCCTGAGTCAGGCTCCCATCCTCACCCTCTCATTCATTGCTCACTTTTTGTCTTTCTGTCAGAATCATGGCTCTTCCTCCACTTGTTTCTCCCCTCAAGCCTTTGTAGACCGCATTTGAGCCTTCCACAGCTGCAAATGAAAACTGCTTTTAAAGGAAGGTAGCATTGTAAGGTGATACTGTGTTCCTCCTGATGGTGAGAAAAGGTGGCATTGCGTTTTTCCTTCCTGACTTTTTTTGCATTTTTCTATCATTTTCCCTTTCTGATTTGACCACTCCATGCATATTAAAACAAGAGTGCTTGCATTTTTATCATTCCACCTTCTGTGGCCACAGGGGCTGTTCCTCCATCTGCGTTTCTATCTCCTGCTTGGCTTAAGCAACCTCTCTCCCCTTTGCCTTCGATTCTGTCTTCCTCTTTGCCCTTTTTTCTGTTACATTGTGCATTTCTTAGCCGATAGTTCTTACCTTGGTAAACTCCGCTGCATCACATGGTGACTCATGATTCCCATGATCCTTCAATAGAAATTCCCATCCTTGGGGATGCCTGGGTGGCTCAGGTTGGTTAAGCCCTCCCCCCTGTTGATGATCTCTCTCTCTCTCTCTCTCATACTCTAATAAATAATTTAAAAATATATTTTATTTATTTATTCTTGGGGGGTGGGGTAGAGGCAGAAGCAGGCTCCCCATCACGCAGGGAGCCCAACACAGGGCTCGATCCCAGGACCCTGAGATCATGACCTGAGCTGAAGGCAGATGCTTAATTGACTGAGCCACCCAGGAACCCCTATTCAATGACTCTTGCAACATCGTTATTATAAAATATAAAAGAATACTCAACAGCATGAAAAATTTTAAATACATGTGTTATCAAAAACATACTCTTCCCCCCCCAACAATTCATATAAACCCACATTTTCTTTCTTTCTTTTTTTTTTTTTGTTAAAGATTCTATTTATTTATTTGACAGACACAGCCAGAGAGGGAACACAAGCAGGGGGAGTGGGAGAGGCAGAAGCAAGCTCCCCGCTGAGCAGGGAGCCCAACACGGGGCCCGATTCCAGGACCTGGGATCATGACCTGAGCCGAAGGCAGACGCTTCACCGACTGAGCCACCCGGGCACTCAAAATAAATAAAATCTTAAAAAAAAATTCTGATCCTTTTCCCTGAAAAGCACCCGTGAAATGATTGTTATGCATAACCATAGAAACACACTTATTTTGGAACAAGAAGTTTGGGTATACTGGGGTGCTGAAGGGGAGGGACTAGATCTTCACAGGACTGGCTAGGCATAGTGCCGAGTAAGTGCTTAAAACCTCACTACTTCACTGAGCACCTCTGTCTCTACTTGAATTGGGTCTTTTTCTCCTTGAAGAGACCCAGTGCGGGGACTCCCCCATTCCAGTGTGTCTGTTTCTATCTTTCCTTTTCCCAGCAGGGCCCTTTAAAAGGTCCCCCAGTGGAATGCCTTAGAGGTCCTTCCATTTACAAGACAAGTAGAAACATGATTGATCTGCCTTATTCTTCAGTGATTTATTGCTTATTCACAGACATGAGCTGTGAGTCAGATTTCCTTTGGGCAGACTCAGAAGTGGATTTATGCATTTCCCTTTTCACTCTCCTCCTCTTATCTCGGCTTCCAGATAAGTATGTATATTTTAGGCAAAGCCTTGTTTTCGAGAATGACTTGGTTTTCCTCCCCCAGGTGTGAGCGGGATCTGGAGCATGCCATTCCTCACTATGTCACCACATACTTGCCGCTGCTGCTGGTGTTTGTGGCCAATCCCATCCTGTTCCAAAAGACAGTGACTGCAGGTGAATAACAGGGAAGCTCTCTGGGTGCAGGACCATGGGGTATGGCTCCATGCCTTGGGCTCAGATGATGGCGTGTCTCGTCCTTCTGGAATCATCCAGGACAGTTGACTTCATTTGTCATCCTCCAGAGACATAAGCACAGTACACTTGGAGAAAGTGAGCAGGTTTAATAAATGAAGTGAGCAAGCCTCTTTAGTGATGGGCTACGTCAGTTCTTTGCCAACGTTTAATAGCTCCAGGCCAGGACCAGTGGACTTCATGTTTCCATCTGGGCTCATCCTGGGTCTGCCCTTGATGTGGCTTGCAGGCCCCAGGAGTGCCCTTGGAAAATTGTGGAGCGGGAGGCTTGGGCGGGGGAGGGAAGGGATGGAGTCTGGCCTGAAGAGTGGTGAGCCTGGCTGCTCCCATGATGTGCTTGGCCTCTGTCTTTTCTCAGTTGGGCAGGAAACAGGAAGTAGAGCACAGGAAATGAGTCAAATGCAATGGTAAGGACTGGATAAGAAGGATGTTGTGAGCCAGCAGAAAGCCCTGGAAAGACCTCCGCTGAGGCTGGGGACTTGGCATTCCAGTCCCCACTGCATCCTCAAGGAAGTGTGACAGGAGCACCCTCCAACCTTCAGCCCCATGGATCTCTCAAGTGCAGAATAGGAATGAAGAAGTGCAGGCCTGGCCTGGGTGGCTCAGTCTGTTAAGCATCCTGGGATCGAGCGTTGTGTCAGGTTGGGGTTCTGGGATCCAGCCCTGCGTCATCAGGTTCCCTGCTCAGTGGGGAGTCTGCTTCTCCCTCTGCCCCTCCCCCCAGTGCGTGCACGTTTTCTTGTGTGCTCTCTCTCTCAAATAAAATCTGAAAAAAAGAAGTGCATCTTAACAGAAGGTTGGTTGAGGATCAGCTGTTGATCGTAGAACTTTAAAACATTAAAAGGACTCTATCACTAGGAATGGGAAATCATTGTGGCTCTTTGGATCCCTTTTCTTTCAGGTCTGCCTTTAAAAACAGTATATTAAATACAGTAACTTTTTAAATAGAATTGCATAAAAGTGCTGAGTCAGTTACATCAAACAAATGAAAATCACATATATGGAAAGGACTGGAAGGAAATGCATTAAGATGTTCACAGTGCTGGTCTCAGGGTGGACAATGGCTCATTCATTTTCCTCTAAGCTTTTTTATATTTTCCAACTTGTCTATAAGGAGAAATTTTTAATCTTTCAATGTTCCCAAACAGCAAGTGTGCATTTTTTTTTTTTAATTTTATTTATTTGAGAGGGAGAGAGAGCACAAGCAGGGGGAGCAGCCGAAGTAGAGGGAGAAGCAGGCTTCCCGCTGAGCAGGGAGCCCGATGCGGGACTCGATCCCAGGACCCTGAGATCATGACCTGAGCCGAAGG